GTGAATAGAGGGAAAGGTACTATAGCGATACTTAATAAATACACACACACACATATATATATATTTATATAAACGCACACGTGAAAACCAACCAATTTTTAAGGGGAGGACGTCCACTACAATGCTCTCACATATTATATACGCAAACGCTCATATTCGCATTAGCATATTAATTAATATGCGCGGATACACACACTAACACGCACACACACTCACACACACACACACACACACACACACACACACACACACACACACACACACACGCACACGCACACACACACTTATATATTTATTTAATATTATGCAGGCGCGTATTGCGAAAACTGTCCGGCTCGAAAGTCGCTTTTATATATTTTTGGAATTTCAATGGGGTCGTCTGCACGCGTATATACCCACACACACACACACACACACACATACATCCTCTTCCGCACCACCCCATTGTATATACACTTGGGCTTGACATATTTTTGGACTACCGTACCCGCAGAACACAATGAGAAAACCTTTTATTTGACTTCATAACACAATGTTTCATTTACTACGTCCGTATTCGAGTTCCGCCGTCTACTTGTGCTTGGCTGTATGCGCGTCTTTTTTTCTATTTTTTTTTTTTTTGTAATGCAGATTTCACCCCTTTAATGAGAGCAGTTTTTGAACTTGCTAAGCATCCAACAGTTTCAGCTACAATGGTCCGTATACACACGTATATATACACGGACGGTCCATCGGGCTGTTGAATAAGTTTCTCGCGGATTTAATTTAACCGAATAAATAGTGAATAATTCATTTTCGAGAAAGAAAATGGTATGCAACAAATATATAGTATGTGTGTGTGTGTGTGTTATTATTTCGGACTTAGATTACGATTCCATTGTATATACAATATGTGCCAGAAGAGCTCCGTATACGTAATGTAATTTACTAAAATTCACTATAGCTAACGTATTAATTATTTCTTCAAAAAGAAACATCACCGCTATCGTCAACGTATAGATTATACAGGTACATATTATAATGAGTAAATTACGTTGGCCTTCTCACATAATGTTTCTAATTTATTTCATATTTATATATCTAAAAGTAAAGGGATGTTTTGTAAATTGTATTAAATTTAAATTTTTTATAGATTTTTATATTTTCTTATACATTTATGTATATTCTATTATTTGAAATTTGATAATGATTGTTATTAATCAATCACTCACTATAATATAACTATCATTCAATTTAACTGTGGTCATGGTTAATTTTTTACCTGATGGTTTAGTTACTCCTATTGTGGAGGTTGTTTGTGGACCGTGGTTCCAAGAACCAGAATATTTTTCTATGGACCCGTGGACCATGGTTTGTTTCATTTGTACAAACATTATTAATATTTATTAATATATTATATTATGCCTAGGTAACCTTTATATTATTAATTTTATTATTTCATACTATATTCATTATCTCAATAATCTAATTACTCTGAAATATGATTTTGTTTTCATCGAACATATATATTTGGTACCTAGTGTTTTACATTTTGAAGTAACATCGAATAATGATGAATAGATATACAAATAATAACAAATATTTTACATTAAAAGGTAATATTTCAAAACCTCTAGAGATGAAAAACTTTACTTCCAAGGCTCCAACCAAAATAAAAAAAAATAATATGGACAATTGTTTAATTAATTAATATGATATAATATAATATTATGTGTATATAGAAAATTAATAATTCGTAAAGATGTTAATAAACTTGGAGATATTATTGATAATATATCAGATAAGTCAACAAACATAGGCATAATATTGTATATTTAAAAAATAAACATAAATTTGGTTTAATAAAATAGCAACTTATTAATATTAGTTACAATGTAAGCCCACCCCCGTGGGGGCGTAGTCCATGTTGCTAATTTTTCAAATAATATATACCCTCCTAACCAATTACAAAGTACTGAGAAGACTGCTGACATTATACTATCATAAAATAATATTAGAATATTTTTTCTTCACTTTAAAAATGGATTTAAGTAAAATAAAACGAAATGATTTCAAAATATATTTTAAAATTATTATTTTTGTATTACTATATTTTTAAACTTAATATTTTATCACATAATATTCTGTATCTAATAGATTATAACTAAGCTACTACCTATATGAACATAATATTATATTGAATACTTGTATGTTTTCGTGACTGCCGTAATACGGACAAAGACTATACCTATTATTGTAAATACATATTAGTATATACTCGTAGTTAGTATATCAATCCTGATTGCTACCTATCACAACTGCCGGGTTTGGTGGTGTTAATTTTAATTAATTAATTCAAACATGAACATTGCGTCATTGCAAACTGCGATTCCAAATAATGATAAATATAGAACTTAATAAATAATTGCTTGAAATATTACGATATGGTAATAATTATGAAGTAAATTACCATGGAAAAAGTAGCCAATATTTTCTTGCAAATTCAAGTACCTACCTATATTAATTGTAATATTTCTTTATCATGTGACGCTCCGAAAACATTGGTATTAATAATAATGTGTGAGGTGTGTGTGTTTTTTTTTAAAGTAATTTTTGATTAATTTTTACATTCAATTTACTATGTCTATATCTAGTTATTTATATTTTGTAGTTACTCTTACTAACATTATAAGTTGTATAATACAGTAACTTCTGTTTTATTGATTACAATATTATTATTTCAAACTACGCATAAACTTATTTATTGACATCTTTGGGTTAATGAAGAGTTTACGGTGTGTGTTTAGTGTATTGAATACATTTACACTGATTGTATAGAGTTGGAAGCAAACAGTTTCAAAAATCAAATATTAGACCGGCGTGGTAACGCATTAATTCGAACAGATTGAAATCGATAAGCATATACTGCATACTCCTTCTCTATAACACTGATTTTAAATTAATCGTAGAATAACACTTATTATTTATAATAAGTTTGATAGGTATCTAATGAATATTAAAACATATGATTTAATATTATTATGACAGAAACGAAGTTGTGTGTGGGATCTTAAAATTCAAGACTATTTCATAATGATGTGTCTACTACAATGATTCCACGGATATTTGGAACAATTAGAATGATATAGGAACCAGGTTGTTATAATATATTATAATATTTCTGTGTAATATTAATTAATAATTATACCTACTTGTTCCAACCTGTCTAATAAGTTCCTGGAACCTAATATAAAAAATATATGGCCTCTAAAAGGGGGAATGGTAAACTCGTATAAATGTAGGTAATATCCTACATAGACATAGTATTAACTAATACAAAAGAAAGTAAAATATTATTAAGTTTTTAAAACAAAGTTAAAATTAATTTTTAAAAAGGTGGACAAGTGGATACCGCTTGTACCGCTGTTGTTTCCTCCTAGAATAATTACTTATATAAAATAAAAAATGTAATAATTTCCTCCAGTTTAAATCGTTTAATTAATTGATTACCATACATTATTAAATATTAAAAAACCAAATGACTTAGGTAAAAATATTTAAAAAAATGTTTAAAAAAAAATCAGTAAAAAAAAATATGTTTTCGTCATTTCGACATTAAAAATGAAATATCTGTCTTGCAAATAAATTAATACATGTATTGTACAAAAATCAATTCAGTTGCTTATATAAATAAAAACTTAAATAATAATCATATTCAGATAAATTATTACCTAACCAAGTGTTTGTATTTTATCTATAAAAATATATTTTTTATATTTATTATTTTCAAATTATTATCATTTTTAGCTTTTTGAGCTTTTCAATTCCAAAATCATGTATTCAATTAAAATGTTGGAGTGTAGGATAGCCTATAAGTCTATTTTTTTTTCAGGTAAAAATGTCCATGTAGGAGATTACAGTATCTTTGATTTTCAGGTTAAAAGGTTATTCGTGTAGACGATTACATTTGGCCTTATATAGATCGCCAAACGGAAATAAATAATGATTTTCTACAGTAGTATTAGACTTTTCTAATGTAATCAAGAAGACAGTAGACTACCCAAAATAATTCTACATGCACTATTACATATTTTAATTTTCTATTAAACCAGACTCCATGACACATTATTTGGATCACTTTTAGTTATTATGAAAAAAATACATTTTTGTACAACATTATACTTATATACATAAATTAAATTTAAAATGAATTGATTAATACCAACGATTAGAAAATATACGATAACGTTAATAGTCAACCTAAATAGCTGTTTTATCATATTATACTAGCAAACCTTTTTTTTATTATCTCTGCAACAACCACAGAATATATGAAATCAGAATGGACACTCTCCAAACCTATTATGTGGTAAAATCATGGACTAAGATGTAGGTACTAGTTAGTATATTATATACTTAGTTCGGGGGTAAAATTAAATGAACAGAATTTTGAAAATGACATGATTAATTTCAGTTTCTGTCTCGAAACATTATAATGAACGGCTAAGTGAGAAAAGTGACAGAGTTGCAGCTCTCTACTTAATAATTATTTATTTATATCATTGTTTTTAGGACTAAATTAGTAAATTAAACTAAACAACAACAAGGTCGTTGTACTGTAAAGCGAGGTTAGTGCTGCACACAATATTGTACCTTGCATCAGTCACTGTACAGTCACATTGTGCATAATGTATATATTTAAATATTTTACACCCTGTTCGATTTTGAATGTTAGATATCCATGTCTTATATAACATATTAACATCTTATATATTTGATTATAAGAATAAAAAAGAAAAAAATGATTTGTCACCAAGATAAATAGAAAAGAAAACTATGTAATAAATAAACCATTAGCCAACCTTTTTAAAAACTGTTATGCTATCATAAAGTTTAAAATCAATAGATACTTAATAATATTACACGTATCTTACGTATACTATAGCCAAATAGATACAATATAACTAATTTATAATTACATAATAAAATTTTTGTTTTATTCCAAGCAATATAAAAATGCATTATAAAGACTTTGCACCTATAATTCCCATAATAGATTTATGATTTTGTTCCCGAAGAACCATCATTATGAAATCTTTACCTGAAAAAAAAAAGGATTTTAACATATAATTTAGTTTATCTAATCGGTAATTAATTAATTTTATTTGATTATAGGTATACCTATACTATTTTAAATATTAATTAATTATAAAAATTAAAATTTGTTTTATACCTAGTTATTAAAATTATGTTAGTGGTTAGTACCCAATTGATTTTCCAGTTATCTATATAGACTTGTAGAAGATAGTATTGAGTATTGACATATTGTATATACATTATACAATATATAGGTACATTCTACATACATAATTTAATAATAATGACACTAATCTACACACAGTCGATATTAAAATATTATTTCACTTCATCCAGAATTAGTTTTGTAAGCAACTATAAAGCAACAATTAATCAAATAATAAATGTTAAATTATTTTCAAAATGTAAACAATCCTTAACGATAAAATTATGATTGATGATAATCTAGATTAAACTAAAATAATTGGGTAAGGGTACTCATGGACACAACATTATACCTATGGGTACCTATGGGTACCTATTTACAATAACACGTTAATACTAGTAGCATGGGAGAGAAAAATTGGAAAATCCCCCAGCATCTCAAAACTTTTCACTAAGGTAATACAAACGCAATGGGGGGATCTGACCCCCCATTCCCCCCCCCCATTGCCTACGCCACTGGATAATACAGTTTGTTAATCTAGAGAGGATTATCTGATAATGCTCTAAAACTACTACTGCTTCGTCAACGTCAGATAGTACATAATATTATATGTCTTTAAAATACAGATTATGAAAGATCCACCAGTCATACTTAAGGATGTTCGACATACTACCAGAGAATCTTGTATTCAACAAATTGTGATTTTGTGGGTGATAAAAAATTTAGATCAATGGGTTGATAAAAACAAAATAAACAAGTAATAAAAGTCTCTCTAGCATTTGATGCCAAGACTCAACATTATCTTTTGGTAAGAAGTTTGTCAATTACCTTGGACCCAATTTCTAAAATTACATGCCTATTTTTATAAAACAAATAGTTTTTGCAAAATTGTAATGCTAAATAAATAATTGTTAAAACTGGCTAATAGAAATTATCTGATTTTTAGTTATAAGTACATTTTATGTAATTCTGATTTTAGATTCTGAGTGAAACGATGAATGTATTGATTTTACAATGATGTGTGTTTTTTTTTTTTTTTTTAATTTAATTTTTTATTTTTGTGTCTGTGTACACGATTAGTAGTCGAAATAATGATTCGATTTTCAACTTCAGTAACTTGTTTGATGGGAAAGTGAATCTAGTTGGTACCTTTAGGAGGTCAAAATTTAAAATTCCCAATAGTTTTCACAAGCGACAAGATTAACAAAAGAAAAATTAAAACGGGAATTTTTACGCAAAATCGATTTTTCACAAAATTGAATTTGGTTTTTGGTGTAACATTAAAACAAATGACCGCAGACACTTGAAATTTTCACTGGTTGTTTATATTTGCATTTTCTAAACACTATAACATTTTCAAAATATTTTGATTTATTTTGAACTGTTTAGGGACATTTTCAGTTTCCAATTTTATTAGTTTTGTTTTTTATGAATATCAATAAAAATTTATTTGTTGAGTAAAAATACTTGAAAATTTAATACAAGGCTCCTACTATATTGTTTCAAAGACAGATGAAAAATATTAAAAATCGTAAGTCACAGTTTTTTTTTTAAGCATTTAAAGTTCAAAAAATGACAAAACATGGAAAAATCACGAAAATTACCAAATTATTTTGAATTATTTTAAAGTGTAATACAAGATTCCTCATAAAATTGTCTACCTTTATCAAAAAAAAAATTTCTATAAGAAAGTCAAATCAAATATTTTTATGAGCGTTTTAAATTCAAATTTTTACAACATTGGATATTCACTCGATTTCTCATGTAGCGATTTTCTTATTTTGATAGATAAGTATTTAATATGTCTTGTAAATAGAAGGACATATCGTATCCGTATTCTATATCTTTGCCACAAGCTTGTGCTTTAAGAAGATACATATCTCAAATATAATATAATGTAATTTATTTTTGTTCTATAAGCTTAAAATGTTGTATGAGAAAAAAAATGTTACAACAATTGTAACGAATGGAAAAAAATAGTTGTTTGATTGAAATATGGTATAAGTAGATAGGTACGCGTGTAAACATTTCAAAACAATAAAATATATAGTAGTCAAAATATTATTTGAGTAAAAAAATATTATAAAATACAATTTACCAGGTGAGAGCACTACCTCTCGTCTTTTAGAACCCATTTGTAAAACAGTCAACTCGTTTGACGGATCTAAATTTCTAACAAAACGCTTCGCGTTGTCAGCCAACTTCATCATCATTTCAGAATGTCTAACAGATGATCTGTTGTCAAATGTTGATGTAATGTGATCACCTATAACAATTATTATCCGTATCAATCATAATAATATAATATGATAAACAAATATAATTTAATGATAAAAAAAACAGAGCCCGAGTAAGGACTAAAGATTGAGTGTCACAAGCACTACATGAATAAGTAATAATAAGTTAATAAGTCCGTGATCACAACAGTTAGGTACCTAGTACCTACTACCTGTTAACCTACAACCATAATAAGATACTGTTCGAATACATACCATTATTGTTTACCACAATAACACCATTAACACCGTTTTGAGATTGGATGCGTTTCAAAGTTTCTTCGAATTCGTTTTGAACATTATTCATTTTCTACTTTAAATTCTATAATTATTATTGTTCGAACTTTAAAACGAGGCGATATGTAATTTAATAAGTATTATAGTCATGCAAAACGTACCAATTAAAAATTGGAAGTATGAGTGAAATTATACAAGTCGTTTCCATGATTACATAATATTATATTATCTATACCTATTACCTATGATAAACAGCATAGGTAATATTATAATATTATTATTATTACTAAATTCGGGTGTTTGTCATCCCGCCTACGGCGGAAAGACTGTGTGGGCGGTGGTGCATCTTTGTCGTTTCGCCTCGAGCTGGGTTTTTTGATCCGGCCTGCGGCGGGAACGCGGGGTCGTCGGGTATTGTGTTTTGTCGTGTTGGTAGCACTGGTTAAGCGGTAATTTTTGAACTTGGAAGAGTGTCTAGTCGTAAGTCAGGCGATTCAAGTCGATCGTACGACACAGCCAGCCAGGTAGGCCATCCGAGGATCGCAGACGACGCCCCGGGCGTGTATGTCCGATTCTAGAGTGTGTGTGTTGAAATCGGAAATTCGGATTCTGAGTTTGAGTGTCTAGCTATCAGTCATCTCGGGTGAAAGTCGATTCCCGAACGGACAATCCGTCTGCGGCGGATCGGATGCAGTGGGGTTGTAAGTCGCTCGCATGCAAGTAGCTAGTCAGGTAGGCAATCCGACTACGTCGGATCGCAGACCATGCACCGGGCGTGTATGTCCGGTTCTAGAGTGTGTGTGTTGAAATCGGAAATTCGGATTCTGAGTTTGAGTGTCTAGCTATCAGTCATCTCAGGTGAAAGTCGATTCCCGAACGCACAATCCGCCTACAGCGAAAAGTGCTCGAAACGGCCGTTCAAATCTGAAAAAGCGTACAGGAGGTAACATAATTGTATTTTTTGATAATTATAGAGAACAGTTATCAGGTGTTTTATGTTAGGCTTTATTGTAATCAATGTAATCATTGTTATGTTTTCGTGGTTATAACAAATAAGTCGCCAAAATCTAATTTTCTGATTGGATATTTTCTAAAATATACCTACCATGTATATTTATTTAATTATGAGAATTAAATCAAATTAACAAATAGATAGTTATATTGGTGAATAACAAATTTTATTGAAATGTAATACTATCCTATTAAACGTAGATATGTATAAATGAATACACTATACAATTTTTTGACACTTATCTTCGTAAGTACCTACTATCATAATATTTTGCTGTTATATTGTATGACTGTATATAATATATTATGTACCTACCTACCAATTTATTTAATGTCATATGATATTTATGATGTTTTAAATTATTAGCGTTATAAGCGTTATTAGCGTTTTATTATATAAGATAATAAAGATATGAATAGGAAATAATGGTCTCATCAGCGGTCTTCCAGGGGAATAATTGAGGCCAAATAAAGTATATCTATATGGAGTATCGACTGTCAACAAAAAATGTAAACAAATCGCCTCAATTTCTTATCTATGTTGGACCGCAAAACTAATACGTAATGAATTTGAGGAGTCCTATCCATGTATTTATTATCTATGGTTTTATTATATAAGATTATCAATCAAACGTTCTACGGTTATTTAATTTTAATGCAAAGTAAAATAATTGTACTCTAAATACTATTTTCAAATACTTTTTAAAAATTATTATGTGCATTTTAAAAGTGGGTCAAAGTTTTATTTACGTAAAACTTTTAATTATAACACTATAGTAAAAAAATATAAACCTCTCTGTGTACATCACTCATTTGTATTAAAATATATGACCTATAGAACATTAAAACAATTTCACTCATATTTAATTTAATTTTTCTAAACCTTAATTTTAAGACTCAAATAATGAATTTTTTCTGTTAAATAAACATGTTGAGCCATGTTTTACAAAGTTTAACAATGTTTCAGTATTTTATAGTAATTTAAATGCATTTACGGTAGACCTATATAGTTAAATAAAAATTACTGTGTTCAATAATTATATTCGATTTATAATTTATGACTTCTTAACCTTGTATTATACTCTCGGATATAACTCATAAAATATTTACAAACATATAATTTGAAATTCAAAACTAAAAGAATAGGATACACTAAAAAAAATAAGGATTATACACAGGTTTTAATTTAATTTCAAATACATTTTAAAAGTTAGTAGGTGATAATCGTTACAATTTTTAGATAAATGAGCGATGGTAGTACTTAAAAAAATAATATTATCCATACACCTATTAGGTTTCTTATAAATAATATATTTCTTCAAACTCAGATACATTGAAATTATAGGAAATATATTCAGTAGTTATATAAACACATAAAAAACTACGTATCACAAATACCTAATGATTATTTTTATTCAAAATAATTATATTGCAATAACGATTCCAATGCTTTGGACTAGTTTTCTCATATAACATTTTTTTCTATAACCGATGTTATTGTTGATAATAACTTTCTCTCACATACAATACCAACCTATAAGCAAAAATATGTAAATTATTATTTGACTTAAACAATTTGATCACTTTGGGTGAGTAAACTTTTAACGAGAATATAATGATATTTTAGATACTATAGTGTCGATGTGGATAAACGAGAATACTATAGTGGATGACGGTGACGAGTGTAACCCAACCCTCATGAAGAGTAAATTCACGGCAACCCTCATTATATAATTTTAAAACTCAGTGTCGGCACATGCTTATAGTATGACTTCTGATTAAATAATATATATTCTACAGAACATCAAAGCAAATCCGAATTATTTACATTTAAACGTGTGCTGCAGTTTGCACTTGTGCACTTGGACGTTCGGGATGGATGTGCGCGTCACATATTAGGTATAATATATATTACATGTTTATTGTATGTGCGGGTGTAATTTGGTACTCTCAGGTATACCATATTCCTATATATATTATACCATGCACCCGTGTGTGTGCACATTATATAATTCACCATTATAACACGGTCATTGGTGGAAACGTCATGTTTGGTGAATTATTATATGAGGATAATATAGTGACTGGTCATCGTCGTCGTTTCAAACTGCGAGGTGCGGTGGTGAGGGGTAGTAGATATGCGAAGGCGAACTCCCATCGCATTAGTATTGTGGGACTGTGTATAATATGTATATGGGGATGATTCGACCCCATACGTGTACATAGGAGGGGTTTGGGTGTTGTTTAATTATCGTATTTTAGCGGACCCATATTGCAGGCCACCCTAAAACAAGGGGAGAATCTAATACGTGCATACACTCTCTATCTCTCTCACACACACACACACACACACACACACACACACACACACACACAGCCACACACATATACACTGCGGTATCGGTGAAACTGGAAATAGATCAATTGTTATTGACTTGCTGGCGGGTAGCTGCACAAGACCATATACGTTATTATCTGCAAGGTCATTAAGTAGGGTTTTAGGAAAACCCTCGTCCACCGTGGTCACACAAGCGTACTGAACTCTTGAGGAGTTTTATCATGTCCGTAAGTTAGAAGTATATTATATCCTCTGCCGTCGCAAACGAAACGTGTGGAATTTTTACAATAATATGATATTTTAATATTTAGAGTCGGAAACAATACTAACAGCGCGAACAATATTATAAATAAATGTTCATAATAAATAGGTATTCAAACAAGTTGAGTTCAAAATATATACATTTTCAAATTTAATAATAACGTGTTACTGTGTGTTAAAAGTTGTATACATACGTCATACACGTAATATATTATAGATAGGTACAATAAGTATACGATATATTATGATAATTATTAATGATATTGAGGGACAGTCCGTGCCGAGCTTTCTTTGGCCGAGTGGACTATAAGGCGTCGGCCGAGTGGACTATAAGGCGTCGGTTGCGATGCTCACCAACGCCAGTTCGATACCTAGGCCATGGGCGGCATTTTTCTTCGGGCAAGTCACGGGTATGGCAGATACCAACGGGTGCCCAAATCAAAAATTCTGTCAAAACAAACACACACGTGTTCCCCCCTACCAACAAAAACAAAAAATAGCTAATTGCCTAAGTAAAAAAATAATAAAAAAAAAAAATTAATATGATAAAAATTAAATTAAGTTTTTTTTTTATAACTACCCTATAACGTTTTTATTTAAGCTACCAGAAAGCTTTATAAATACAAATACCTTACTGAGTCTAAAACAATCAAACTAAATCTTACGACTTCAACAGCTTGAGGTGCCTAACGCTATGGGAAATGGCAAGAGTGCTTCCTCTAGATTATTCACATGTTTTTTGGTAAAAGTTTTGATTTTGTACTTCATGGATAACATCTTAATATCTCAACAGTTGACTTAAAATTATGTAAAACCGATTAAACAGTGGTAAAATGGTTGAATGACTATGCTATTGGATGCGTTGCTACAAAATTATATGATTAACAGTGGCTTCATCAAGGGGGGCATGAGGGGTCAGAACCCCTCCCACGTATTGGATACGTTTGTTTTCCAGGCCTAGTATGGAATGTCTTCAACTAGCCAGTACTATTTTTACACTTTTATTAGCAATAGTTTGTGGTGAACATGGTGCTATTCTAATGCAAGGCGCTCATTCAAGTATCCAGCTGAATATTTTAATGAGTTTGTTATGTAATCTATAAATATTAGGTAATTATCGGGAATTACCTACAATCGGTTTGGGTAAAAATATAATTTACTTGCACTGACTTATCACCGTTTATCTTGATTTTCCAACGTTTCTTCTAATAAAGGATGTGGTCTAAAAATTGAGATTTTTAAGTAAGCAGTCACAGTTTTTTATCCCATACTTGTTAAAATTGTCCTATCCTATAAAAATATAGGGACCACTAAGTCATTTTTGATTGGATAATAAGTTTGGAATACGTCTTGAATCTCTACTTACTTTTTTTTATTCCCAGTGACTTGTTAATAATATTTGTGACAAGATAAACTTGGACGATTGGATGATTACCTGATCCATGTATCCAAACTGATGA